AAAATACTCAATTATTTATTCAAATTCTTATTAAGAAAGAGTGAAATCTTCATTTGAATCAAAAATAGTATAAAAATCCATAAAAAAGCAATTTAATTCTTATAAAGAAGTACATAGAAAAAAAAAAATAATAGATCTAAATAAAAAATAAAAAAAAAATATAAAAAAAAAAAAACGGATCTAAATTAGAAAATTCTGCTTTATTAATTTATGCTTATTTACTAAAATTTCCTTCATTTAATTAATTCATTGCTTTTTTATGTTTATTTAAATCGTTCTTAAGTTCTTATTCTTAATCATAATTTTATAGTAATAACATAATTTTAATTATTTATTCTAAACAACTATTAGGATCCATTGCATCTTTTTAAATAAAATTTGTTGAAAAAATTGATTATTTAGAATGAACTGCATCTTTTATTATTGTTTATAATTTTTAAATTGATCTTTCGGCAGACATTTATATAAGTAAATAAAATAAATAATTTATATGATAAATATTTTATTAATTAAATAGAAATAATAAAAAATTAAAATATTTATTTTAATATTTTATTTTTAATAATATTTTATATTTATTTTATTCTTTAAAAAATCATTCTAATAAATTTCTGTAATATATAATAGAATATAAAAATTAATATAAAAAATAGAAAAAATACATTTTATAAAATAAAATTAATTAAAAAGTATATATTTAATTAATAAAAAATTTTGTAATAATTATATTATTTATACTATAAATAATTAAATAAAAAAAGAATAGAAATTATATATTATTTAAATATATGAAAATAAAATATATATAATTAAATATATATATATCTAAATATATATATAATTATTTATTAATAATTAAATTTAAATTCATAAATTTATATTCTTTTAAATATAAATTATTTTATATCATACACTTGTTTTTATTAACTTTTTTTTCTATTATATTTTTTTCTTTTTAATTTTTCATTATATAATTTTATAAATTGCTTATAAATACAAAAATAAATATAAATTATAATATATATATATATATTTTATATTTTATAAGTATTAAATTATTATTTTAAATATATTTAAACTAATATATATATATTTTTTTAAATATCATATATATCAGAATTTTTTTATAATAAATAATAATAATTTTTAAATTAATTAAAATATTTTATATTATCTTTTTTTAAATAATTTAATTGTTTAATTTTTAATAATAATTTCATTATTCTGTTTTATTTTATTTATCTTTAATCATAATTTATATTAATTACTTATCCAATGAATCCATATTATTTTATTTATAATATACTTTATTTTTATTTTAAGCTTAATTACTTTAAAAGGATTGAATAGATAGAGCAGATTATTTTTAATCTTTAATAATATTGTTTAAACTTTTATTACTATTTTGAATTTCTTCTAAAAACAAATTTTTTGTAAAATCAGAGAAAAAATTAAATTTAAATATTTTTCTCTTTACATTAACTTAGAATAGATTTTTTTTAAATATTATAATCCTCTTCAGACAATGGAATTACAGAGAATTTTGTCTTAAATATAGAAAAATCATTCTCATTATAATTAGGTGAGTTTACAATTACAAATTCTACCTATGTATCTTAAGAACTTGCTTTAATTTTGTAATTTCTTAAATTAATTTTCTATATAGAAAAGCATTTATATATTTTTTTATACATCTCATTCAATAATTTATTATATTCTTCATAAAACTATATAAAAATAGAATCATATTAAGAAATATATAAAGTTAATTTTTTGAAGATCTTCTCAATAATAGGCAAGTCTTATATTTATTAATAATTTTATCTGAATTAAAAAATCTATTAAGAATTTTCTTTTAAAATAATCAACTCATCTTTATAATTTTTATTAAAAAGTACAATACAAATATCCGAATTTTAATTTTATTAACAAATAAAATACTAAGTTTCCTTTTTTTCCAAATCGAATTCATTAAAAAAACTTAAATATAGGAAATTTACAATTTTTTCGTTTTCAAAATTCGTTTGTTTTTTTATGGTTCTAAGCTCAGA